CCTGTCTGCGATACCGATGCATTGCTCTACCAACTGAAGTGTGGTTCAAATATATGGTCTTTCAGATATTCACTAGTGGGAACAGTAGAAACGGAGAGACAGTAGAAACAGAGAACCAGAGGTATGGTACGAACACACGGGCGTTATTGACAGCATGCAATAAGAACAGTAGGAACGGAAGGAATAAAGGAACAGTGGGAACGGTAGGAACAGTAGAACAAAAGAACAGTATCAACGATAAGTACAGTAGGTAGGAACAGTGGGAAAGTAGGAACAATAAGAGCAGAGGAATAGAAGAACAGGACAGTAGCACACTAGGGACGGTAGGAAAAGTTAGAAGAGGAACGTTAGGAACAGAGAAACAGTAGGAACAGCAGGAACATCCGGAACGGTAGGAACAGAGGAACATTAGGAATGCCACAAGTCGACCTTTGCTTAGTCATTGGCTAAACCAACAGGCCGGTGAAGTATACAAGTATTACATTGGAAAGGACTTTAAGAAAGTCTACAAGAACAGCAGGAACTGAGGAACAATAGGAACAGTAGGAACTGTAGGAATAGAGAAATAATAAGAACATACAAACAATCTCCTATGCTTGTAGTTGTTATCATCTATCCTGGGGTGTCCAATCGATACCAATCAAGACCTATCAATATATCAATTAATCGACTGATATTGATAATCGATGGCCAATCGATGAAGAGGATTTGTGACAATAACAGGACTGACAACAATTGGTTTTTTGCAATAACAGCATCGTATAAATTATAAATTCATGTGTCTGTCCCCATATTGAAAATGAAAATTAGCCAATGAGCACGCGAGAATTTCTGCAGTTACAAGTTGAGGTTTATGAAAATGTAGAGAAATCTGTCATGAGGTATAACGTGAACGGGACCTGAATAAATAACACTTAGTTTTTAGTCGACATCTCTTCTGGTAATGCTTGATGTTCTCCCATAGTATTGCTCATTGACTTCATTCCAAGGGTTTAGAAAAGGGATGCAGTGTTCTTAAGTAGATATAAGAAAGGGGTACTTTTTCCATAAAAAGGTATACAAAAGCGGTACCTTTTCTGTCAAAATGGAATACAAAATTTAAGGGTAAGGGGTTGGACTTCAGGGCGGAGCCTCCCCATATAAAACTTTGTAGAGTACCCCGGGCATTTTTTAAACTTCTTCCGTGCCGCTTGAAGTGCCGCATTAAGGGGACACAGTCAGCTGGCGCGTATGCGCATTAGATACCATTTCGTAGCTAATTTGCATATCACAGAGACGCGATTCATACTGTTTTTAACCAAATATGATAAAAATAATTTCGGGATGAGCAAGAGCACACTCAAAAACACGTTTTTTAGCAAACGATTGAAAATACCGGTAAAGCAAAACACTGCCAAGATTAAAGCGGATTTCTAGAAGTACTTTGATTTCAGGTTTACGTAAACTTTTTTCAAAGTGAGAAAACTAGTGTCTAGGTCAGCGCGGTCCCAAAGCTAACTGTGAAATAACAGCAAGCGTTGACGGAGAAACTCCGACAAAACCAGAACGAGATTGCCTGTCGGAAAAAAGGCAAAATACAGGAATGGTTAAAGTATTGTGAATTACCTTAATATAATACAACTGTATTGAGACAAGATATTGAAATTCGCGTTTTAAAATTACCCTATTAAACACGTCTAACAAATAAAGAGCTACCAAGACATTATTTCAGTTCATAAATAGAAAGCTCAAGCTTGAAGTAATAATTTTTCTCTCTGTGTTCTCGCTAAAAGTCATCAGTAATTTATTGCAAGTTATAATCACTGGTCATCATCTTCTGCGGTAATGGTGTAAACACGTTCAAGATCTACCTTGTCAGGGGACTTCTCAAGTATTCTATAAATAGCCTCCAAAAACCTCCTCATTTGCGTTGAATGGAAGGCGCTTACAGAAGTCAGTGGTTCTATCCACGAGTAGAATCTTTCCCAAGAGTTAGGGTTTGCAGATTCTCCAACACCGAAGGTAAATAACAGTAACTGCCGCTGGACAAATTCCACTGATTGCGGATTGTAAATGACATTTTACCGAGTGAGTGAAATGGATAAACATTATTTCTAATACACAATATATTGTTTGTAAACCCTTAAAAATTCTCAGCTACTAATTCCAACATCTTTCAAATTTTAATACAAGGGTAACACAGATGACAGCTGACTTGAGGACCAATATGCTATGTCCTGAATGTCAGTGCTTTGGTAGATTTAAGAGGTTATCTGTTAGGGATACACCCCGAGCTGGTGTTGAACTATGATCCTTTGGTGTTGTGGCGGGAGATGATTGATGGAGACGAGCTGGTGTTGAGCTTCGTGATCTTTGAGGTGATGGTGTATAACTTGCTCGTAAAGACTTATCAGTTCCTGTTCTAATTCCTAATCTTTGTGAGGCCAATCGCTGTCCTGCAGGAGACATCTGCCCCAGACGGTCCACTGTGTTCAAGTGTTTTGGGCTCCTACAAATTAAGATCAGACATTTGTGAGATTATGCTAAAGAATGAAGTTTAATACTACTTTTCTCACTGCATAATTAATTAACTCATTGCAAAAGACGCTGTTATTCCTTCACAATCCCCCGCTATCGCCCATGTTGGTAGTGTTAGTAATGCTTTGCGCCATCTGCAATTTGGTCGTTCCGCCTCGAGCATGGTCTTTTCATCCTGTACTCCACAAAGACAGTCATCTTTTGCGACCCGCCCACCTCCCCTGGTGGCAGTTGACCAAGCTCCTGTCAGCTCATATCCTCGTTACATGCCTACTGCCTCATCAGTCTCGGACTCCTCTCATAACTTAATCTTATGCAATGAGGTAATGAGTATGCAGTGAGGTTATAGTTCTAACATGTGGAGAAATAACTGGCATCGTTTTAAGCTGGAATTCTACTCCCTACTAAAACACCTCTGTCATAGCAATCTCAAGATCATCATTATCATCATCATCATCATCATCATCATGGCACTTGTGACATTAAAAGCAACCAAGGTAATTAACCACTGCATGGAAAACACTTCCTGGCATTTTGCAAGCGTAGAATGTAACATTAGCTGTCCAATTTGGAAATAGTGGGATGAAAAAAATTCAGAGGTCTACAATGCTCACCTGCCAATCAAAGCCGTAGCCTTTGCTAAAGCATCTCTTCGTTTCTCCCTGTGTTTCCTACTGACCTTGTCAGCCAGTGCTAGACCTAACTGGTCTCTTTTCTTGGGTTCTGGCATTTTAAAAGTTGGGCCAGGTGTGGCTGTAATTGGGGTATCACCACCATCCAAGCGAAAAGGTGTTCCTTCTATACTGCCCCAGGTCATTAGGGGTGATGCATCTACACCTTAAATAAACCAGCTAACACAGTCAAGACAAATAAGCAGTTACTAGACTGCGAGTAGTCCCTCTTTCGCTCAATCCGTCAAGTGAGACAGTAAAAACACCACAAGGAAAATGTGGCTGCATGAAATCCTGGGGGCATTTGCACAATTCTCCCCTCCAGGATTTTGCGTGGCCATTTTCTTCTGATGGTTTTTTTTGTGTGTGTCATGCACGACAGACTAAGCAAAAGAGGGACTTCGCACAGTTAAGTAGTTATATTCTTTTCAACCCATTCTGTTCTGTCACATCTGATAAGATATGAAAATACCACTTAAGAGTTTTAAGTTTGCCTGCAATCTTTAATTTCATCAGGCAAATCTTTGAAAGGTATAAAATAAGTCTTGTCTGCATCAGGCCTCATCTAGGCTCAATTTCTACCACTCTCTTGAGTCTGGTCTACATTCCTCCGTAAGGGGAAGGAAGGAGTGAGGGCTCCTTTCCTGAACAGTGGCTGGTAATTGAGCTTAGGCCTCATCTGGTTGGCACTAACTTGGTTTCTGTGACGTGCTCTAGCCAGTACTGCTAGTCTGACTGTAAGGTTGCTTTCCCTGGAGAAAACTAGCCAACAATCCTAAATGGGGTCTTAAATACATGTAGGATCATAATTAATCCCATTTATTTTGGAACCTAAGGGATCATATAAGATCTTACAGAATTCTATGTAGGATTTCTAACACGGCTAACAGCTAAACCATTTTATGAAGTTTGGTGTGCCATGATCAAAGTCAGGGACCAAATCTCACTGCACTACTCATTAAACCACTGCATGTCCTAGCTTTAAATAATAAAGACTTCTCTAATTAATTAAATTACCTGGAGCAGGAGAGGGTGTTGCCACAAAACCATACCCATTGACTCTGGGTGTTTCGCTAACTCCTTGAACCTGGCCATCAACTCCTATCTTGCCCTGTTTTGCTGCCAAGTGAGTTGCAGCAGCAGCAGCCAGCTTGCCATCACAAGACTCATCAGGGAATGGATCTTTGTTGAACCTGCTATTTTCATGTCGTATTTCTTGTCTCTTTGTATACTTACCCTCTATTTTCTCCTGAGCAGATGCATCAACACCATCAGGGTAGTACATAAGAACATTTTTGTTTGTATAATTCCATGTCTCTATCATTGAAGGTCTGTCTTCATATTTGAATTGATCACCTTCTTCAGAGGCTGGCAAAGCCAGGATTTTCTCTTTCCTTTCTAACTGTTCTTTTTCTTTGTCAAAAAGCCATTGATATTTCTCTCGGTGTTTCTGGATACCCGTGTCCATAATTTGTTCAAATGATGCATTGTCTTCACTAGTATTTTTTGATAGAAACCTATCCAGTGTCAAGTCAGACTCTTGTTTCTCACTCTTTGGCTTGCTTTCTGCTATCTTTTTCCCGTGTGAAGAGCCATAAGCTTCCGTGTCATTAGCTGGAATTGTTTCAGATGGTGCTGGTGTTCCACAAATTGTGCTAGGAGTTTCGAATGTGGCTGGAGTAGCTGAAAGAAACAAACAAACAATAAAAAAAGAAAATAAGACAAATCTTGATCAATAACGACTTTTTAAAACATAAACAAGTAAATATTAAGGTTAACAGCCGATGTTTCAGCATCATCAGGACACCATTCTCAAGGTAAAGTGAATAAATTAATGCGAAGATTTCATTTTGATAGTTTAAAGTCTCTGTCAAAATCAAATCTTTGCATTTATTTATTCACTTAGGGTTGAGAATGGTGTCACGATGACTCTGAAACGTTGGCTCTTAACCTTAATATCCGCTTATTAATGAGAAAAATAGCAATTAAAGAAAGATGGCAAAGAATTAATTAATGACACAAAGTATCTTCCATAGAATTAGAATAAGGAATTACACATTCCACATCATGAAATAAATTTGTGTGAACTGCATTTTATTTAGAGAGATCTCTAAAGAAACAAAGCAAGGTTTTTTAATCTACACTTGTTTTCACTTATTGCCTCTAGACCAGTTAACAACGGTCATGTTGCGTACAACACATGAAAAACATGTTCCTCACAAGCGCGTTCCTCTATGAAGAAAAACTACGAAAACAAAGACAAAGTAATTTTTTTGTCTCCAAACTTCTGTCATATTTTATGTAGGACTAATAAACCAATTAGAACCTGCCTTCTCTATATATCTCTATACAGTGGAATCCCACCTTATGGTCACCTCGTTAATACAGTCTCCTTGTTATTACGGCAAGTCTTTTTTGTCCCAACAAAGTGCTCATACATTTTCTTGTAAGAAAACCCTGTTAATGCAGCCATGGGCCACATTCTGAAATCCCACTAGAAATAGTTCTGTTCATCTTTCCATTGACAGTTAATATTATATACATGTACTGACTGAAGTTTCTACCTTTTAAAAAAATCATACCTGCATTTTGAATGCTTATTAAAGAACAGTTGTTTAGAAGTACAATTGTGATGTCTGTCAAGACACCACTTAAATAGACCAGTCATGAAATTTGACCCTACACATTAATGCAGACACCCCATTAGATGGTCAAATTTTCATGGCCCATTGGCAATCATATTAATGGGGCTCCACTGTATACATGAGGCAGGTTTTATGGGGTGGTACAAAGACATTTTACCCCACCACACAGAGTTTATCTAAAAGATCAAAACAGCATCAATGCTGCCAACAGTTAAATTTTCAAGACATTGTTTCTGTTCATTCATGATCAAAAGAAGCCATTTTTTCAGCACTAAATGGAAATAAATGACCTTAAATAATACTGAAGTGTAGAAAAAAGAGGATATAAAGTCTTAAAGGTGATGAGCCATTCTTTCAAGTTTACAGTCATTTGATACTCAAGACAGAAAGTGTCACTTTCAAATCAAACAGAACCCCAGACTCCAACAGAGTCATCTGAACTTAGAAAATGCTACTCTAGTATATAGCACCAGTGAACCTATTTCTTTGGCCTATTAAGTGCAATCCTTACAAGCAGGTAATAAATACACTCATCAGCTGTCTGCTTGATGAGATATTGATACTGTTGCAACAATTGGATGCTAATCGCTCAAGAAAATTCAAGAGTTGAGCCATTTTGCTTGTATGTGGCATACTTACCTGAACGACCACTTGGTGTACGTGTTACTTGATACCTAGCTGATATTTCCCTTAACTTCTCAACGTCATTGTGTTCAACAGCATCCAGATATTCATGTTGTGCTTGTAGTTTTGGAAGCTCGGGGAAAAAGTCTCTTTGAATGATTTTATTCAAAGACTGCAAAGAGAATATAAGTTTGGCAATGTTAAAAGTTTGCATGATACTTGGTTGATGCGATAAGTTGGGGTTAACAGGAATAAGAGTAAGAAATGTAAGTGCAAAATCAAGTCAATGACTCTGTTTACTGGCTGTATCATTCTGCGCCTTCTATAGTTTGAACCTCCCACTAATACAAAGTAAATTTCTCATCCTTTCAGAAAATTTTCTTTGTAAAATAAAACAAATTTCATTTGCCAAACTTCAAATATGAGTCAAAGCTGGCCAGCTGATAAGTTTTTCTTCAAACAGGTTAGCTGCTGTCAATGTTGCTGCTTCAAGAGAAATTTCATTCACTAAGACAAGTGACAGGCATTTTTTATCTAAAATGTCCCCTCAGCATTTTAAGCAGTTCCATGCAATGTTTATGCAGGGATTGGGATACCTGTGAGCAAATCACTGGCAACACGTTAGCTTAATGTCTAATCTCAAGGTTTTATCACAGATTTATTTTGTAATTTCTTTGCTTGTTCTCAGCCCTTGCTGCGAAACAACTAGTAAAATATACACTATTTTGTGGAAAGGACTTTTATTTGTGAAATTTTCAGTGTAATGATGAATAAACACGCAAAATCACGACGCCGTCGCTCTTTAATCGACGCTATAAAAGCGTCGCTAAAAGCGTGCGCTTTGTTTTCGTCCCCAGACCCCCTACTTGGACTCTGCTCGGAATGAGGATTTTCGCTCAATCCATGTGCTTTCTGTTTTTAATGATAGAATCAGCTGACTTGAATATGTTTTGCATGCTGTAATTAGCCAAATAATATGCCTCCAAAAGCGAAAGTTCCAAAATTGGATGTCCAAGATTGTTGCTATTTTGCACTATGAACACCGAGCCCACCCAACAAATTGTGATCCTGAAAACAATGATGAAGACAAAGCTTCCAAGCCTTCTAGTCAACTACTTGAGGGATGTTGAGTATGAAGATGGCACAGGGGAAGGTTTAGCACAAGAAATCTTAAATGATGCCCAGAAAAGGAATGCACCCCCTACAAAGATGATTGAATTTGGTTCTGATGGAGTGAACGTCATGAGTGGAGAAGGAAAAGGTGTAAATGGGGAGCTGAAGGAACAAAATGGGCACATGGAATTGCTTGTCAAGATTTTTTATGGCCTATTTATTTACCCTAATGGCCCAAACTTTTTAAAAATGGCCCACAACTTTCCATTGCCATGGGCCATAGGCTCATTTGCCTGTTTTGCCTTCCCAATCCTGTTTATGACTACTTTTTGCTACCTGTGAGCAAATCACTGGCAACATGTTAGCTTAATATCTAATCTCAAGGTTTTATCACAGATTTATTTTGCAATTTCTTTGCTTGTTCTCAACTTGTTTTCAACAACAAATGTAAGCTTGCTTACTTATATCTGCATGACAGTGACCAACTCAAAAGCTCATTGGCTACTTTGGTCACTGTACACAATTAAATATTGTTTCTTCTAGTTAATTTCTATCTGTATTTATTTTTTCCATATCATTGTAAACCATCTTACGTTAAGTTGTTTTTTTCTGTAAATAGTGTGCAATAATAAAAACTGAAAACTGAAAAAACTGAACTGAACTTATTTAAAGAGCTTGTGTTTCCATGAAAATAAGTCAGAATTAAGAAATCTACTCTACGTTCTATTTGTGATAAGGCTTTTTGTGAGGTTAATATTTTTTCTGACTAACATAACCTTAAATATCTCTGTAATCCTGGCCAGGTTTAACATGATGTCCGCGGTATACGTACCTGCACGTAAGTTTCTTCATCAAGTACTTTGACATTGCGTTTTCTGTCCGATTCTCTTGCCGACGGCTTTCCGAGCGCACTGACAGACAACTGGCTCTCTCTTTTAGCCAATGCCATGGAGTAAATGATATCTAGTCTTCTGGGCTGTATTTACATTGTAATGAGGACAGTAAAGGTAACGCTCCTTTTGTCGACAACACTACGTTTTTGAGGTCCGCCATTTTGAGAATGACATCACAGACTTGGTAGCCTAGCCGCCCACTCCTACCCAAACTTCTCTCTCCCACAAACGGTCAAACATGATCACATTTATTACCCTGAGAGTTCCCTGAGAGATTTTTTTTCCTCTGGCACCTAGGGTACACATTCATCAATGTAGACATGCAGGCCGTAAAATGAGGTGTTCAGTAAGAACCATTTTATTTAAAAGCTTATCCAGGTATTTGATAGAATAATTTATCAGAATGAACTGCCCACTCTGCACACTGTAAACTTTTTCATCTTTCAGTCTGAGAGCTAATCAAAAACACGCTAACCGGAGCCCCAAGGGGTAGGAACTCCCTTATCCATGGGCTATATAGGTAAGCTTATGTGTAGCCCCAAAGGCTATAGTTTTTGAGCGGTTTTGGTCTGAAAAAGGTATAGATTTTGACCTTTTTGGTCTGAGATAGGGTGTTTTTCACCCGGGCTTGGCATATTTGGGTATTTTGCCTACATATATGTTATTAGATGTTTTGGTCACGTGTAGCATCGCTGTATATTTTTAAGAGTTGTGCAGTATTTTGACGAACCCGTAGAGCGAGTCAAAATACATACAATGAGTAAAAATATAAAGCGATACTACACACCAAAACATCTAATAGACAATAAATTGTAGACAATAAATTTATCAATGAAAGGAGCGAGTGTGACAGTTTTGCGTGTGTGCGTCATCCTGTGTGGCAAACAGGTTTTCTACTGTACAAATAACTGTACAATATCGCTGTATATTTGTACTGCTATTTGGATGGTATTCGCTGCAGTTGCATAATAACAAGAAATATTCTTTTTCCATATCAACATTGGCAAATTTGTAGCCCTTTTCAAATGGTAACACAAATGGAAGCCATTTCTTGTTAGCTGTGGTCGTGCAAATGTGGTCTGAAAATGGGGTAAAGATTTTTGGCTCAGGTCCAAAATAGGGTAGTAAAAATCACAAATCTTGGTCTAAAATAGGGTAAAGGTCTCAAGATTTGTGCTGTACACCCCCACCAAAAACTTTGGGGTGTACTCCACGGGAACCAGAGTGATATTTGGCTTAACCTGAGTGACATATTTCAGGCAAACCAGTGTACAGACATTCACTACCAGAAGCCTGAATAATCCTGTTTAAAGTTAGCACTCAACAGTTGAAATAACACAATACTGTAGTTTGCAGTCTGCATTTTACCCCTGGTCTGCAGTCGTTATTTTACAATGAGTCTGCATTTTAACCTCAGTCTGCAGTCTGCGTTTTACGCTGTCAGACCCTATTCTTAATGTAATATGGCCTACTATGGCACCCAATATTTGTGCCATATTTAAAACACTCAGCATTAAAGGAGACCCTACTTGGATCTCACCAGTAATCCAGAAATGAGAATGGCTCATGGCAAGCTGTAGGCAAAACTGAAGATCAAAAAATACATTGAAGGTAATTTGGACCAGCAATAATGGGTGTCTGAGCATTAAAATTAATGTGTTGGTAGGTGGGTGGTTTTCGTTTTGTCTGACAATTTAACTTGGAAATGCTTAAAATATATCTCAAATCAGATCGAGAGCCCAAGAGGTGGCATGTGTCTAAACTTGGTGCAGTAAGTTTGTTTTTTTGTTTTTTGTTTAGCTCCATCTTCATGTGCCTTAATCTGCTTTAATTCTCAGAAAAGAAGCCACTGCAATACATGTGAGCATGTTAATACATGGACATCGTAATGTATGTTTTACTCATTCAATACTAGACAGTGAAACTAAAACAACAGACAAACAAACCACCTTTAATGGTTTTGCAATTTAATCACCTCTAAGCAAGTCATTACTGAAGTCAGTCAAACTAATTAACATAATTAAAACAAATCACTCTTATTGTTTTTGCAACTTAATCACCCCAAAGCAAAACAGTTACTCGATTCTTGGCCAAAGACACAAAAAAGCATTTAATGCTCTAAATTTTTATCAATATCTTACACAAAGCCTAAACAACATCAGACGCTGACAGTCGTCTCACAATTAACCCTAAATAAATACTTCATTTGTTATTCACATTACCTAATTAAGTATCAGCTTCTCACTAATTCGGCCTGTAAAAGTTATTTAAAAACTGTACATTTGCTAAATTTGTTTGCTAAGAAAAATATTTGGTCCCATGGAAATGGCCCACACACACACACACACAATGCAAAGCTGTAGATTATGAAGTCAGTTTGAGTCATTTTCATTCAATTAAAGGAAGTTGCAACTGTGCGATGATGAAGAGGACATGGTGGACGATAGTTTCCAACCATTGGCTTTCCACTTGCATCATCAAGGGCCCTGAAGGCTGCCATCTAAAGAAGGAAGGAAACAAAAAAATTCCAGGGTGAGTAGGATTATAATGGATTATGGATTATGGACAAAAATTGTGTTGTTACAATTGGCAAGCAATTTGAGTTATCAGGACTGGGGCAGTTGTAACTACTGTGCCAGAGACATTGCTAGTAGAAAACATGTACCGTGTTTCTATCAAGTTATAGAAACACGAGT